AGGAAGATCAAGGGAACGACGCGATACCCCCTTGATACCTCCTTTACATCGGCCCTGGCTATCGCGCGATACATTTTCGACAAAATGTCTTTCACATGACGCCTCTTCATCGTAAAGATATTGTTTCTCTGGCGTTTCCTCGATGGACCAAAACCTACTGAGCTGATCATCTAGAGATGTGACTAGGTGGCACATCTTATGCGCTCTCCTTTGTGTGGGATGTTGTTGGGCCTTGATTTCGTCCGTAACAATCCACCCTAAGAGAGTGTTTTGGAGAATAATAGAACTATTGGCTAGTTTAACTTGACCGGAGTTCAGCAAGTCGTAAAACAATGTATTTCCGATAAGTGCGTCTATCTCCCTTGGCTCAAAGAAGTTCGGATCGGCTAATTTTATGTTGACGGGAATGCTTAGCTGATCAGGGCTTATCCGTTGTAATGGTAAGAGACCTGTAATTACCGGGAGCGCGAGGAATTTAATTTTTGTCTCGAATGAGCTGCTAATTGACCTTATACGCGTGGTCACGGAATAATCCGAACTTGTTTTTAATTGTCCTAGGCCCGACAATGAAAGATTTATTTTATGTTTGTCCGAGTCCAATCTCTTGGTGAGACGATGAGTTATAAAATGAGTTTGCGAACTACTGTCAATTAGCACGCGACATACATGATTCCGGTTGTTTTTATCAAGACTAATGTCCTTTACAGTCCTAAGTAAAATCTCAGAGTCGCGATAAGCGGTGAGAGTGGGTTTCGGAATATCTGAGAATGTTGAAGGTGCCGAAATGTCTTTGTTGGTATTTTCATTGCTACTTTCCTCTTTCGCAGATGAAAAATGAAGCAGTGTATGGTGCTTCTTTTCACACTTACTCTACAATTGCCGGCTAGGTGATTTGATCGAGGGCAATTAAAACAGCGTTTTAAATGCTTTATCATATTCAAGCGATCATTAATCGAAGACCGTAGGCATTTTGGACACGCGTAAATCGAATGTTCACCCTTACAAACGATACACCGATACTGTGCCTGTGTCGCAACATACGATTGGTCGCGGTTTTGAGTGTTTTCTCGTAAAGGCATATC